CTGCATGGGGTTTTTGTGGCCGAAATGTAAGATCTGGCACTTGTTCTTGTTGAATCTAAAAGCCATTTTTTAATGTAAGGGGAGTTTAAAATATTTTGTTAGACAAGCTTTCAAGTACACCATTCTTAAGGGTTTATTTATGTTTTCTTTCATCTGATTTGTTTTTTCAGCTATGTTGGTAGCTGATAAGATGCTAACTTCCCTATGCACGTTGGCTTCACTTGCCTCCTTGTATGCTGAAACATTACTTCTATTCAAACCTGATATAGTTCAGACATGCAAAAGAAAAGTGCACATTACAGACCAAAATCTAAGATGACTGCAAAGTCATTGTGATGATAACAGTGAAAGGAAAGTGGGGGTTTTAGGTTTTTTTGTTTGCTTTGGTTATTTACTTTTTTTTTTTTAAACACTACAATTTGACAATGAAGTCTTGCAAAGGAAAGAGACTCTCAATAGATTGTGGAAGATTTCATAGTCATGTATTAGTATCCTTTCTTTTGAGCTGACAGTACATGACTCTTCATGTTTTATGTTAAATTCAAAAAGCCGTAGAACCAACGTCATGCACAGATTGCTGCCTGTAGGCAGTAATAATATGCAAAGCTTATATAACTCAAAACTTTCAAGCTCTGTTCAGACATAAAGTAATTAATGATTAATGAACATAACAAGTATGATTGCAGTCAGTGTCAGATGTGTCATAGAGTTCCAAAAGTTACATACTTTTACACATTTTGTACGCAGGGTCCCTGCATATGTTTTGGTATAAATTGAGTTTACCAAGACCTCAGACTAGAAAATAATGTGTAATTAATAAATAGCTATATTTATTAACTCTTTGCAGAATGTGTTCATGATATGCTGAGCTACAGAATCCTTTTGTTATTCTAAAGTGGCAGCAGGTACTGGGAGAAAGGCTGCAAATGACCTCCTGTGTTATCAGTCACTGGAATAACTATTCATAGGTTTGGTCATTTGAAAGTCAGAAAGCAATACTTGATCCCCTGAACATATACAGCACACAGCAAAATCTTCCATGAGACACCATGTATCTTGCAGCAAAGAAAAATGCAGGGAGTGGTGTTTACAGAGTAATCACTGCAGGTATACTGGTATTTGGAATCCATTTTAATTTATAGTTATAAAATGCAGGGAGGGTCCACTCTTTTTTAAGAATCTGGATTCTGCTTTCCTGTTGAGGCTCATAAGTTAGTCATTGCAATACCAGACTCTTGCATTATTTAAGTACTTGGACTTCTTTACCTTATTTGCCACTAACAATCTTGTTACAGCTGACCTTGTTAATACATTCTTGCACCAAAATTATTTTGAAACTTTAAGTGGTATGTTAGATACAAATTTGTTCAGCACTTAAAAAAAAATTATTTTCTGAAGTAGAGGGCTGCTAAGAACAAAATACAAGCTAATCAAACTGATTCATAATTGTACTGAAACTGCTATGAAGTCCGTAATTATGTAGTCAGATACTGAAAAATTACCTATCTGTGTAGAGTAGTTGCTTAAATTTCAAGATCCAGCCACATCTGGCTGGGGTTCAAAATTCAAACAATAATTGTAAGTACTATGTAATCTCAGAGACAGCTCTACTCATTACTGTTAATGTTTCTTCCATTTTTAATTCAATAAGAGGACAAATCCAGAGATGTCTGCTGTCATATCTGTATTTTAAAGTGTTAATAGTTCTTATTAAATGGTTGTAAAAAAACTTTTAAAAGTGGAGAGAGAGGGAGAGCAAGAAGAAACAGCAGTCTGACAATTTGACACTTTCTTAAGGATCAATGCCATTCAGTTTATTCATGTGGCCTTAAGAAAGGAATATGTGTCTATTACAGCAATGAGTGTTTTTGGTGAGACATTAGTATTAGTGGTCATAGTAAATCCCGTGTCACATTTTCTAATTATTCAAATTCTTGTGTATTCTTGTTAATAGATAAATGAAGAGAATGCATAAACATAGCATCAACAAAAACAAATGATTGCTTCTCTTTGATCTTAATGGGAAGAATGACTTAAAAAGATCTATTTGTCACATGCAGGTGTCTACTGAACAATTTTAGATTGCTTTGGTTAAATAAGAGAATCTCACAAGCTGTATTAAAAATATTAAGGAATCTGTAGCCCTCATTCTTAATGGTCTTATCTCAGTTTTATATTAATCTCATTGAACTTGCTTTTTGTATTAGTGTAGCTTAATTCAGAAGTGTGCCCTGGCTACATAAACTGAACACTTAACTTCCTTAAACTATCATTGAGTTACTAGATTACACTTTAAATTCAGTTTAGCCTTCCCTGTAGAAGCCTAGATTCACTGAATCTATGGAGCCACTGAGGCTGGGAGGAAAGCTCCAGTTTTACTCATCCTAGGGTTTAGAATCGTAGAATCATAGAGTTATTATGGTTGGAAGAGACCTCAAAGATCATCAAGTCCAACCGTATATCCAAGGCCACCATGCCCGCTAAACCATGTCTTGAAGCGCTACATCTAAACATTTTTTGAACACGTCCAGGGATGGTGACTCCACCATCTCCCTGGGCAGCCCTTTCCAATGCTTAACAACTCTAACAGTGAAGAAGTTCTTTCTAATGTCCAGCCTGAACCGCCCCTGGTGCAACTTGAGACCGTTTCCTCTTGTCCTATCGCTAGTTACCGGGGAGAAGAGACCAACCCTCGCCTCGCTACAACCTCCTTTCAGGAAGTTGTAGAGGGTGATCAGGTCTCCCCTCAGCCTCCTCTTCTCCAGACTAAACAACCCCAGCTCCCTCAGCCGCTCCTCGTAAGGCTTTTTCTCCAGGCCCTTTACCAGCTTTGTTGCTCTTCTCTGGACATGCTCCAGCAGCTCAATGTCCTTCTTGTAGTGAGGCACGCTCCAGCAGCTCAATGTCCTTCTTGCAGAAGAGCCAAGGCTCCCGAGATATACACGATGCTAATGATGTAATACAAATTATGGCAAAAACATGCTTTCAGTTAATTCAATCAGTTGAAGCCTTCTGCTTTGAAGTGAACAAAGCTTTGACAAAGGAGAGATTTCAATCTTACAGATATTTAAGGTGTAAAATGTATCTTGTATATTTCATTTGAAAAGCAGATCTGTATATACACACACAGATCATGATTTTTATTTACACTTCTTTTTTTTTTTTAAAGTTCTCAGATTATCAGAACTACATTGTGAATAGTTGTGTGAAGGAGAATCCAACAATGGAAAGATCAATTGCTCTTTGCAATGGTATCTCTCAGTGGGTGCAGCTAATGGTTCTCAGCAGACCAACCCCACAGCTTCGGGCTGAAGTGTTCATAAAGTTCATTCATGTTGCACAGGTCAGTTAAATTTTGACACGTGTGGTGTTTATTTTGACTTTCTCTGATACAGCCCTTTAGTTGTTTTTCCCATGCTACTACTGTAGGCTCAGCTGGGAGTGTTGACACTGGTCTTCAGCATGCATATTTGTGTATGCTGTGGTTTCATACCAAGGTATTCAGATATTACAGTGTCTGTTCACTGAAAAAGTAGACTTGCTTTTGAATCAGATGGTGAGATTCCACACTGTGACTCTGTACCTTTCCAAAGCATGAACCACTATCATGCCTTTGGCCATAATTAGAAGCGTTTCTACTGGCTTACTGGATAGAAGCAGAGCTATGGTCCTATTGGTATTCCTTGCATACTAACTCAACTGCAGTCATAACCAAGATAATAGGCAGTGTTTCCTAGTTGAGCTAGACTGTAGGAAGAGGGAGAAATACTGAGGAAGTACTTTGAAGACTTACTGTATCCTGATTTAATAACAGTAGAATAAGTATGTGTTACACCCAGTATAATCACAACTCATTATCAAAATGAATGAAGTCAAATGGATAGTGGCACAAAACTTGCAAGACTTTAGAGGAAGACAGTAGAGGAAATACAGAATTTGGATGTGCTTATCAAACAAATTGAACGTTTAAGTAATAAATACTGATTTATTTTTTTTTTTTAATATGTCAACACAGAAGCTCCACCAGCTGCAGAATTTCAATACATTAATGGCAGTGATAGGAGGTCTCTGTCACAGTTCCATTTCCAGGCTCAAGGAAACAAGCTCATGTGTTCCTCATGATGTAATTAAGGTTGGTATTGTTCCTCTAAGTTTTACAAATAAGATAACCTTTAATTTTTTGTCATTGCACACACAAAAACCAACCTTACTTCATTGGATAAGATGGAGAGAAAGATAGAAAAAAAGAAAAAAGAAGACTTCCTTTGGTTTTGGAGCATGTTTCTTTGTCATTTCATCTCTATGACACCAGTTACTCCTACACTTCCAACCTCGCCTTTCTTCAAGATTTGTATAGCTTCTCTAAAGTTTCTCTTTTAATACTTAGATGTGGCAAGCTGCATTTTCATTTATATGCAGTAGTACAGAATAGCATTCAAACACGAAGCAGAGAATTGGATCCTGGAACATTTGAGAACAAAACTATTGTCATCCATAGCAACACTGAGTCTGCATCCATAGCATCCTGAGTCTATGAAATGCTAGCACAGAGCTCTGCACTTTGAGTTTAAAACTGAAAGAACTGGTTTTGTTCATCTGATCTTTAAACAGATTTTATCTAGTTCAGACTTGAACAAACTTAGCTGTAATACACACACATTATAATACAGTGGAATGTTGGGAATCAGTTGTAATTTCCAATTAAATTCTTGTGAAATACAGATGGATGTATTTTTTGCTAAGATTCTGGCTACTAAAACTGTGAATGAAAGCATATTTTTTAGCAATGAAATGGCTTCTTAAGAGACTTCTTAAAAGACTAATATGCTTTATTATTTTATCTTGTTTGGGGCCTGAAAGATTTTGTATAGATATCTGATGAACCTGTTTTGATCACAGTATGATCAGCTTGAATGAATAGTGCATACCTGGAGTATAGACCAGAAGTATGACCTCCCACTGATAACAGTTGCAGCTCTCAGGGTCTATAAAAACAGTTAGCAAGCTTTACAGATTTTGTCATCATGATGAGGAGTGGGCTGCATATGTGTCCATTGTTTGAATAACTTTTTGCATCAAGAAATTGTATACAAGTGCTAATAGAAAGCAGGTAAATAAAGGCTGGCAATTAGTGACTTGAGAGCACACTTTAAAGTTTAACTATAATGAACAGTTTGTGAAGGTTAAAAGTCAAAGGGTTAGACAGCAACTTCCACAAGAAAACATTGGTCCATTGATTTTTATAATGTTGAGAGTCAGCTTTGTACTTGTATAGTTTTAAACAAAGGAAATATTTATACTGCTAGACCTAAGATTCATTTGACCTTTACAACAAATCCAATGTATTTTTTTATTCTTCATTTCCATGGAAAAAACACGTTCTTAAAAGCACAGATGTGTCACCTTGGATTGCAGTAGGAGTTTTGGTCATGCTGTGATGGGATCATAGCACAGCGTAGGGTTTCTCTGCCAGGACTTTCCAATTCCAACAATTCCAGCTGGTGACCTGGGAGCCAGAGAAGTGCATTCCACGTTTTAAGGTGAAGATGGTTGCTTTTATGAAGGTCAGAGAGCTTGTGCTGTGCTTATGCATTAACTGCATACACATCCCCCTGATGTGGGAGGATCCTGTTTCTTTTAATTGACTAAATAGGGAATGTAGGAAGATTAACATTATAGATTAGGCTATACATTAACTACCTATAATTACATATTACAGATAGTTAAATTCGGTGAGGTGAATATCTCGATTTCATTTGAAGCCTAAAGTTTTAAAATCCGTTTAAAGAGTCATTACGAGTAATCCCCTTAACAATAACATGGGAAATTCCTGTGCTATATGACCAAAACAAACACAGTAACCGATTTTGATTTTTTTGTTCTCTTTTTATTTTTAGGTGTTTAATGAAATGACGGAACTGCTTTCATCTTACAGAAATTATGATAGTTATCGACGTGCCTATAATGAGTGCAGTAACTTTAAGATCCCAATCCTTGGGGTCCACCTGAAGGACTTGATATCACTTTATGAGGGCATGCCAGACTACTTAGAAGACAAAAAAATTAACATATACAAACTATACTCTCTGTATAACCACATAAATGAGCTGATACAACTCCAGGAAATGCCACTTCCCCTGGAGGCTAATATGGACCTAGTTCATTTGCTTACAGTAAGTCTGTTAGATAAGATAAATACCTCCATTTAAACAGTAATTTCATATACCTCTCAAACAACTAAGTAGAGAATTCCATTAATTATAAATACATAATATTGTAAGATTATTTTTTTTTCCTTAAGGAAATGTACAATAATAGGAAGAAGAGAAAAAGTTAGTGATACTGATTTATCTGGCAGCAAGGATAGAGGTGCCAGTTCACCAGTATGCTTCCAATTATTTCTGTAAGGGAAGGAAATGTTTATTTCTGCTTCGCTATAGTAGTATGCATTCTCTCTCTACTTTCACTAAGGAAGTGCTCTGAATCATCTGCTGATTAAGCCTAAATAGGGAGAAAGGTAGAAAACTTCCTTAGATGCATGTTGGAGGCAGAAGATTGCATACAAATCTTCCTTGTGTTGAACACACAAACTTTCACAAAAAGTTCAGTCCCTCAAGATGTGTAGGGTTAAACATACCACATTGCTAGCCAAGTTCCTTCTGGTACTACAAAAACTGTCTGACATAAACGTTAGTCAAATGTAGTTGTATTACTCTTCTAGTCATACCTAGTCAGTGCCATGTTACTAACAAAATTGGTATTACCTAGGACATATGCCACTACAATAGTTTCAGCTTCTCCTAGTAAGTTAAAATACTGCCTTTTACTAAAATAGTAAATCCAGCTTTCTTGTTTCCGAGTTTTGCTTGGCCTTAACAAGTACCTCAGCTTGGAAAAACTAGATATGCTGATTCCATTTTCTAATTACAAGCTCTATTTCAGCAAAAAGCTAATAAATAAAAATGCTTATGTGCTTGAGGTTATTTGTTCTCTCTGGGAGCACTCGTGTGTGAAATTAAGCACATATGCCCAGGGCCTGAAATAGAGCTACATAAAGTGGTGGATTTCTTCCTGCTAAATGTTTTAAATGTTTTGTCTCAAATTATTTTAAGTGTCTCTCTCTTTTTTTTTTTTTTTTTTTTAAAAATAATGTTTTATAAAAATGGCTATTACAAATATGTAGAACTTTGGCCACAATTTCATGCAGCTATTTATGATAGGATGTAAATTAAAAGAAATACTTAATTTCAAAGCAGGAGCTTCTAATCTGCTAATATTCCAGGGCACATAATTTTCCTGTTTGTTTCCTGATTTTTCCAACAGCCCTTTCTCCTTCTTCTGTTTCCTTTAGTGATATGCTTTCCCATTTAGCAGGCAAATCAGTTTGAAGAGGTATTAGTAATTATATACATAAGTCAATAATTCATAGAAGTATTGTAACATTTGGACTTCTGTTTCTGAGTGTCAGAAACTACTTTAAGATTTCCTCAAGAATCTAAAATTATTCACTGTTATGACTACGACAGTAATTCTTGCAGTTGTTCACAAGAAAGTTACTGCATATCTGCAATTTCAGTAAGGTTCTTCATTGGATAAACTACCATATTTTGGTTTCTTGGTTTGTATCCATATGAGTGCCGTGATCTTGACTCTCTAACAAGTTTATATTTTCTTTGAACTTGCTATAGATTGAGGTTTGTAACACATCTATGTCTGGCTTTTCTATTCAATCACACGTCTAGTGTGAATATTTTCTTGTAAATATTCAAAAACTCTCATGTTACCAGACTTCATTCTTAGCTAGAAATTTGTTTCCAGTGAATAAAATATTTGCTATACTATTTTCCAGGACACATGCAAAAGCAAAGGTATAAATTTGATAATTTTTTCAAATTCCTTTATTTACCCAGGTGTAATGTTTCTGGCTTTACATAACTGCTGTTGACAGCTAAAGGTTCTCACTAAACATATGCAAGTCCATCTTTTAGCCTCATAATACACTTCTTAGTTCAACGTGGTCACAGCTGGTTTGGATAAATATGGCATGTTTAAACAAGAGTTTTCTGAGAATTTGAGTTGATAAGCAGTTTCATTGGAATGGTGGTTTTGTGCTTAGTTGCATAATAGACCACTTGACTATTATGGGAGTAACTGTTTTTTTCAGGTTACTTGTTAGCTGACTGCTAATTATGCCTACAGTCACTTGCTGTGCTAATGACTGTAGCTGCGTAATGTTACAGTTTTCCAGATAATGGCAGTAACAGTCTGGAATTTAGAAATGTACCTATTTCAAATCACCTGTGCAGCTGAAGTGCATTTTTTCTAGATGCAACCTAAATTAAAAATTAATCCACCAAAAAATACTAATGCATGCCAGCAACAAGTTTATCAAGTAGTAGTGACTGTTTCGAGTTAAACTAATGTTGTGTTTGTTTTCAGCTGTCCCTTGATCTTTACTACACAGAAGATGAAATTTATGAGCTTTCATATGCACGAGAGCCACGAAGTCACCGAGCTGCCGTAAGGGCGTTTCCAGATTCTTAACAAAATTATTTAATTTTATGAGTAATGTAACTTTTATCCCTTGCATTCATTTTATATTATGTTAAATTGAAAATATGTTAGCTTTATAGACTGAGCAAAATCTGTTAAAGCATAAATTATTTGGTTAATGATGAAGCCTAAGCTAGAGTATATGGGAGAGTTGACACCACATCAGGTTTTAAAATATGAACACAAACACAAATTACTTGTGTAGAGACATGACATGAGACTTAATCTTGGCAGATGATCCTGATTCTTTTAAATGAAGAATTCTTATGTGATTCAAATGATGAAACCCATGAGTGCTTTATTTATAAATATGGAAAAGATGGTGAATTTACAGGGCTGTCAGTGAACTGTGACAATTTGAGGAACAACCACTGTTTTGGACAGTTCAGGGAGGAACTTCCTCTGAAGTACCACGTAATTATCAAAGTATGATGTTGAGTCCCACAGGCCATGTCTGCAGTACTGTATGGATAGTCCATTGTCACAAATGAAAGAAGTGTAATACTGAAAATCTTTCCAAGGGGTACTAATGAAGTTCCATTCAATTTGTTCTAGCCTTTGACACCTTCCAGACCACCAGTAGTTGCAGACTGGGCCTCAGGAGTAGCCCCAAAACCTGATCCAAAAACCATCAGCAAACATGTTCAGAGGATGGTAGATGTAAGTATGGTTGGCCCATTTACCTTCCCTGTCAGTCATAGCCTTAATCTCTAGGTATGAGAAGATACAAAGAAGGGAAAACATACTGAACACCTTCAAACAGATATTTCTGCCTAGCTGTAAATAGCAGCAGCCGCCTGTGAGGCATGGAAGGAAATTCCTTAAATGGCTAAGGAGCCAGCAGAGAGTGTGAATGCTGGTTTGTATACTTCCAGAGTCATTCTTCCAAGGAGTACATTTCTACCAGGGACTCCAGCATCATGTTATTGGTGGAGTTTAAAGTGGACCTCTCAACGGCTTTGTTACTAGCAGCCATTGATTTTTCTCTCTTTTGGGTCACCCACTTTACTGAAAACCATCAAGTAACCTCAGGTGATTGGTTCCAAAACTGACAGAGAGAGAGGTAAAGAGTTTGTCTTTGCGTTCCTGCTTCATCTCTTTTCCTTCTAAACACTTCTGATATTGCTAGGTATCCTTTGATACACAGTTTTGGAATGTATTTCTACATTTGGACTAGGTGTGCTCCTTGCCTTAGGGCCACAGACAAACAGTAATGTTGTTTCACAAGTGGAAATTGGTGTCCACTGGCAATTCTGTCATATAACTACTTTTCACATAACATTGACCTGATGAAGTAAGCTAGGCAGCTACACTGATTTGGCGACAGAGATCACTGAGAGCACTAACTGAGAGCATTAGTACGAGTTGTATATGTAGGCCTGGATGTAATCATCTTAAAGCAAAATTAAGAAAGAGCTGTCATTGTGTAGTGAAGCATTTAGTCCAACCTATGTTGACTTACCTACATTTTGCTACAAATCAAGAAATCATAATGCTTCTTTAGTCTCAAACAAAAAAAGCAGTTAGACTGTTGCACTGTTTAATAGATACTGGGAAAAAGTGGGAGAGGACATGTGGAGACCTAAAGTGGTAATTAAGCCCATCGTCATTATAAACTATTCTACTATTATCTTGCACAGTCTGTCTTCAAAAATTATGACCATGATCAAGATGGATACATTTCCCAGGAAGAATTTGAAAAAATAGCTGCCAGTTTTCCATTCTCATTTTGTGTAATGGCTAAGGACTGGTGAGTACCTGGTTCTGCTTATCAACTTTGTAGCATCTGTTTTGGGAGGGGGTTTGGGTTTTTGTGTTTTAAATTTTACTCGTATCATTAGGGTGGTAAATCCTCCTCTTCACCCACAAACAGAAATAAAAACATAACTGACAGAAGCATCTTCTAAATGTGTTGTGAATGACATCTTCAGGAGCTTACAGCAGTGGTAACCAGGCTGATGTAGGAGGAAGAACAGATAATAGAAAAAGAAATTTTTTTTTTGAATGATACTGAGTATATACTACTAAAGAACTTTCCTAAGATGAACTTGTCCCTCAAAAACAGACAATTGACAAATGTATATTTTGGTCAAATTAAGATTTTTTTCTTAACATATTAAAGCATGGAAAAATACAATAGTGACTATTCAGAGATTTTCTATGAAGTAGTTTTGAGGTTGCATCACATACGCAGATATTTCATTTATCCTTACAGGCTGCATTTTAAATGTGTAGATAAGCTTCTGTAGACTTTGGAGGCAGGTGACAAGATACTGAGATCACTGTAGTTTTTGGCCCATTAAAGTATTGCCATTAAAAATTGTGAAGAAAAATACGTTTAATTCTCCTTATGCTTTTAAGAAAATGTATGTCTCACAAACAACTTCTCTTGTTTGTTTTCAGGGAAGGTCTGATTAGCAGGGATGAAATAACAGCTTACTTTATGAGGGCTAGCTCAATCTATTCCAAATTAGGACTTGGCTTTGCTCACAACTTCCAAGAGACCACTTACTTAAGGCCTACTTTCTGCGACAACTGTGCTGGATTTGTAAGCTTACTTTTTAGCAAATTGTGTTAATGTTGTTTGTAATAATGCCTTTTTTTAATCTCACAATCACCATGTGTGATATACAGAAATAGATCTATGTAAACACCAGTGAAGCTATATAGAACACCAGGCTTCTGCCTGTGTAGCTATTTAAGATATCCTTTGCACCCCTCTTGGCAGCACTATTACCTGTTTAAACAAGGCTCCTGCCTTGTGGTGTTTGGTTGTGTCACCGGACACAGTTTCAGGCAAGAATTCCAAATCCGGGGCCTTCCACTCCATGGGGCTATTAGAACTCATGTCCTGGTAGAGACATGACATGCCCCCTGCCTATAGCACAGAAATACTTAGTAAAACTGACTGTTCTACCAATCCCCAGTTTAGCTGGGATCAAACAAGAGTACTGAGAATTCTCCATTTACTCCAGCTCCACAACTTCTCTCAGGGCTGTCAGATCTGCTGTATTCATTAGAGACTAGCTCAAGGTATTTTGTTTGTGACTGAGGAACATACATAAAATATTCTGCTTACCTTATGCTAAAGAGGTAAATAGTTCATATTTTGACCTTACCATTAAAAGAGTAGAAAAACAAGATATTCTGCAGGTGCTCAGAACTTAGAAATGAGTGGAGCTTTTAGTGGATTTTTGTATCTGGAGGTATCAAATGTGCAGCGAAATGTATTAATACATAGTCTTTCTGTTTGTTTGAATTTCAGCTATGGGGAGTCATTAAACAGGGATACAGATGCAAAGGTAAGGTACTTTATACTTTGTTAATTTTAATCAATATTTGATGGCGAATGACAAAATAACCTGATCATCCTGAGATCCATTGCAGTGTCTGTGGATCTATTTAATCTGATCTCTCAGGGAGGAGAAGACTGCTTCAAGAATAGTATGACAGACAGATGGTCTAGAAGAAATGCAAAGATGAAGACACTCGTAACTGATAGGTCTAAACCTTTGCAAAATATTACTGAATTCAGAGGGTTTGGGAACAGACCCTTCTATTCCAATGGGCGCAAACACCAACACTCTGTGAAAACTGTGCAGCACACTCACAATGTGTATTTTGCAGAGTTTTCTTCCTCATACAAGTATCTGCTTTCTCCGCAACTCCTACAGTCAGAATGCTGTTGTGACTGAATGTTGCCATTTTGTATTTTTACAATGAAAAGGAGTTTGACGTATATTTGAAAGGGATGTCGTTGGTCTGTTTACCAGATGTATGTTGTTACAGGTAATGCATGTAGAGAACACCAAAGCATCTTTCTTGCTTCCTGGGGAGGCAACACAGTGTGAGAGCTGATCTTAGATGCTACAGCAGAGCCACTGAATCATGTACACTTTGTTTTGTTTACAGACTGCGGCATGAACTGTCACAAGCAATGCAAAGACCTGGTTGTGATAGAATGCAAGAGAAGACCCAAAACTTCAGTTGCAGACAGCAGCCCAACATCTGCGCTTGCTTCAAGCCTCTGCCCAGTAGGAGTTAAAGAGCAATTCCATGGTGAGAAAAGTTTACATTAAAAAGATCAAAAGATCTAGATAATATTTCCTTTGCTCTTTTTTCTTTTAAAGCTGAGCTGTTCAGCATCATTTTAGGTTTTGTTAGTTAACTGCAGTGTTTTATCAACATGTAAGCTAAAGCCAGGTGTAAGTGAGCCTGTACCAAGTAACACTATGCCAGTTCTAGTCTGACTAAGGACGGACACCCTTTCTGGGAGATCTCTTGTCACACTACACAATGTTCCCAAATTCCACAAAAACTAAGTAAATCTTCTGCCAGACCCTCATGAGAACTAGAGTCCATGAACTGAACAGGTGACAGGTTCCCTTAACTCTCTCACCTTGTGACAAGCAGGTCTTGGTACACTCTAGTTTCTACCACTGTCATCACATTAAGTGACTACTGCACTGTTACAATTCTGACTCAGATTTCAATATGGAGTTTATAGTGTCAGTTTGTTTATGTATCTGTGTGCTAGGAAAACCAAGAGCTACTACTTGTGTTTTTTTTTTTCCCACTTCAGTAGCTGAATCTACAACTCCTCTTTGTCCGTCCATCTCTCATTTAATCAGAAATGAAAAATCTACACCTCTCTGTTCTTTTCTCCATGTATCAAACAAGCTGTATAAACTTTTCATATTATATATTACCATGTAGGCCTCCAAAGGAGGAAGTGTTGTCCTGGAATAAGACCTCAGGATACTTTTCTTTTGTTTTTCTTTTATTTTGATGTTCCAACTCTGTCCATACTCACTTTCTTTGAATTTCTCTCCTGTTCTTTACCATATCTAATGTTCTTCAAATCTGCTTGTCACCGCTTTGACATCAATCTTTTGTGTTGTATTTATGATTCATAGTGTTGGATTCCATCTTAGGCTTCTTATTAGCACTTATGTGGAGCACAATGCAGCCAATTTCTCTTGATAACTGACCATGTACCTCTCTATGATTGCACCTGCAATGGCTGCAGCACTGCATAATAACCACCTCATGGGATGTCAGGCTTATAGAGATAGAACTGTAGCATGTTGCCCCATCATCACCCAGTGCATCAGAATGTGGTACCTCTCAATGCTATGTCATGTCAAAGAATGAGAACTCAGGTCTAGATTGAAGGTGTAAGCCTCATCTGTTCATCCATATCCTCATTTAATTCTCCAGAGCCTGCAGCAGCTACTGGACTGACTTTGTTCTTTCCCCTCATGTGTTTGAACACGCAGTCTCATTTTCATTGCTTCCCAACAACAGAAATTACTTTATCTGAAACAGCTCTTTTTTAAATCCTTTAATCACATCCTTTGCCCACTGCTAACATTGTGGGTTTCCCCCCCCCTC